TAGGGAGGTCTTGGTGGTTGAAGTGCTTTTGGTGTGGGAATATAGGAGATGATGAATAGTAAGAGTTAGGGTGTCTGGTTGAGGATGCAGAAGTAAAAAAAGAAGAAAAAGAATAAAAAAAAAAAAACAAAGAAAAATGAATTTAGACACGTGCTGATATGAAGAAGGTTACAGAATGATGGAAGGGCTACCCTGACTTCCAGTCAAATAAAAACCTAATCAAGACAATTTTGAAAAATAAAAAAGAAACATGAGGGTGAATAAAAATAAAAGAATAAAAATAGGGTCAAATAAAAAATAAAAAATATATAAAGAACGTAGAATGAATTAGCAGTACTTAATGAACTTAAATAAACTTTTGAGCGAGTTTGTGTGATATCATTTCAGTTCTTTAAAACAAAATCATTTTCATTTCGACCAATTCTCTGCTTTGTCACCAGGGCGACTTTAATTATCATATCATCATCATCCGTTTCAAAATGTAGAACAATTTTCCTTGTGGCAAGACAAGAAAAGTCCCTAGCTACCCTTTTATTCTTGCAATACATGTAAAAGGCTATTTTCTTATGATGATTAACAAAAGTTCAAATGAAAATGTTGTATCAAAAACTAATATAAAACAATTTCTAAGATTTTATTAAAAAACTTAACCTTTTAAATTGAAATGATTTTTTTGACATAGTATCAAAGTTTTGATGATTAAATGATTACGAATTCGAATCTCACTATTCTTTTTTTTCTTCCTAATTAAGCATAAATAATGATGCGTTTATGTAAATTTTAAGTCCAAAAAAATTTTTATTTAAAAAAATGTTTTATAGAGTAATATGAAACTACTACTAAAACCTCGTTCAAAAGTTTAAACTTTTGGATTAATTTTTTTTTTTTTACATCACACTATGACCAAGACTTCTTTAATGATCATATCCATGATTTGAGACTTGAGTCTTGTGTGCCATCCTATCATTTCCAGACTCGACAAGAAATTGATTTGGTCAAGACCAAAGTTTAACTTGCACTATTTATAGATAATTAGTTATAATTATTAATAGTGATACAAAGCTTGGATTGATTTGGTCGAAAAGCAAGTTTAATAGTCGATTAAAAGCTAAACATGTTTTGACGTTGGTTTAGTAAAAAAAAAAAATCATAAACTTAGTTTCAATTGATATAAAAATTAGTCCCAAAATACCCTCCTATATGTAAATATAAAAAATACCTAGGCATAAGCGAGTAAATTATAAATTAGTCCCTCTTGTTTCGAGAAATGAATTAATTAATTTTTTTAGTTTAAAAAATTAATTATTTAGTCATTTTAACTAGTATTGACTGCGATCAATTTAATATTTTTTTTAATAAAATATCTTTTTTTCTCATTAATCCTTTAATATTTTTACTTATATTTTATTACTTTTCTATTTTTTTTAAAAAAATCATCATAAATTAAAAAATAACAAAAAAAAACTAAATAATTAGTTTTGAAACCAAATGGAAACCAAATTGACTAATTAATTTGTCTCTCCAAGCAAAAGGGATTGATTTATAATTTACTCAGCAATAAGCATGTTCATCTTAAAAGCACCAAAAACAAACATAATCCAAACTGCCGGATCTGGTGTACTATCCTTGTCAAACCTCACTTTCTCTTTCCCTGACAAAAGAACAGGAAAAGAACGAAACGACGAGCTTCCATTCGCACACACTCAGCTAGATTTCAGGGCTAATATATCCTGTCAGCTTTCCTGCAGGGCCTGCCCACTGATAAGAACCTTAAACCTACAAAATTTTAAACCGCCAACGAACGGATAATTTATTGAACCTTCACCGCCACAACTGGATAGAATTCTTCTTGTAAGAACTAAGCTGAGGAACCAAACATTAGGCATAAAAAATTGGAGCATCTTCCGACACATAATCTTGCAAATACATAACACATGCATCTTCTAAGAATTGAATTTTTTTTTTTTTTTTTGAGTTAAATCGACAAGTTTGACCAAACATGGGCTAAGAATCTTAACAGGGCCATGCTCAATCCTGATCACTTGCCCTTTTTAATTATGTCTATATATTAGGCCCAGCTAAACACACCTATTCGGGCTATTCCAAAGTAAGGCTTTCAGGCCTAGCTTCGGCCTCCAAATAAAAATCTTTCTTGCACAAAAACAAGGAAAAGTTTGCTTATTTTGCACAAGAACAAACTCAGATATGAAATTGTATGACAAACAGCCATCTAATAAAGTAAAAAAATTGAAGAAAAACTATTATTTTGCTCGCGAAAAAAAAAGTAGCTCATTATTACACCTTATGCAAGTTTGACAAGTAAAAATAGTTGAGATTTGATTGAAGAACGGGCATGCGTCTTTGCTAAATGAGAGCAACGAAATAAAAGAAAAGGAAAAGAAAAGGAAAAGAAAAGGGATTGCTTCTTTTGTTTTTGTTTTTTTGTTTTTTTTTGATAAAAAGGAGAAGTATTTTACATAGTTAAGAAACCAAAAAGAAAACTTATTCAATTTGAGTCATTAAATACAATTTCTGTCACTTGTTGTCTTTAATAGAGAGTAATTAATATAAAATTATTCTGAGTTTTAAAATAGTTTTGTATTACTTTTTAATAAACTACTGCATAAGTTTTCGAAAATAATTTTATATTACTTTATAATATTATTTAATATTACATATAGGTCAAATTAATCTTATTTGTTGAAGTATTTTTAACTTTGACCAGACATATGTGTGAGATTTTTGAAATATATAAAGATACGAGAGGCTCTGCTGATCTATTTTTATTGAAGCAAAAAAAAAAAAAAAAGGTCAATATTATAGCTAACTTAGGCTATTTTAGACTATTAATATTTAGGATAAATAACTTAAGAGAATTGCTAAATACACCAGATATTTTGTTATTTTCACCAAGATTTTTATTGTAAATTACTAACCCACCACTATCACATTAAGTTAGTGATCAAATGGTAATTAGATGTAAGGGTTTGTCAATAATTTATAATAGAAAATTGATGAAAATAACAAAACTTATGGTGGATTTAGCAATGCCAATAACTTAAACCATACTTATATAATATTCTAAATCTTCAATATGTCTTTATGTTGCATATATTATATTTTTGAATAATATTTAAGTCTAAAATTTATTATTTACTCAAGTTTTTCAACAATTAGTAATTTTTTTTACTGAAATATATAAAAAATAATAATTCAAAAACTTAAACAATAAAACATGCACATCATGTCACTTTAAGTGGTTTTTTTTTTTCAATTTTATTTTCTTTTTTTGGCATTTCAATAAGAGATATTTCGTTTAAAAATCCATCTATGCTCTAAAAAATTGATTGAAATAACATATTGAAAAGTTAAATGTTATTTAAGAATATAATTAATATAATTAAAAATATAAAGATAAATTAAAAATTCAAATTGGTATATAAAAATAAATTAAACTATTTATTTTGATAATTATCTAGTGGGCAGGATCAACCCGAGATATAAAATTGGAAGCCCTAGCTTGTTCTGATTGCTCATGGTGTTGGGTCAAGTCAACGGACTGAAAAATCCATAATCTAGGGAGACAAGATTGTCGGCCACTAAAAGCATATAAATATGTTCAAGTAGTGCTGTGTTTCTTTGGGTTTCTTTCTTTCAGTTTTTCTTTTCGCACTGCCTTTGTCCGGTTAGTTGTCTGTTATAGTACTTTTCATGATTTTTAGACCAACATAATATAATATAAATTTGGCAAAGATTTAAGAGACACGATTATATTTTAACTAAACGGTGACAAAAAATAGATTTCTTTTGAATTATTCATAAAAAAATTTAAATGTTAAATTTTTTTATTATTTTTATTTAAATACTTAATGTTTTTTTTATTCGAGCTTTTCCAAAATTTAAGATTGAAAAATACTGACATAATTTAGATCTATACTGTAGACACACGATGATCTTTAATTAACATGTGATAAAATATAAATTTTATTAAAATTTGTTGAAAGATAAAACTTTTAACCTTTTAGAAAAGAAAACAACTAATAATAATTACAAAAATCAAAATCCATCACTATACGTCAACCGAGGGAACTGAATCAGACACATTTTTATTATTGGTACAAAGTTCATTAATTTGAGCATACAATTAAGTCAACCACGCCCCTTTTCATCCCTATCCAATTGATAAAAAAAAAAATCATCAAGCAATAAATAGTCGTCACTTTTATCCATATTTAATTAGTTCATTAGCTACGGAATGTTGCTGCGAGTCCCCTCATAAAATAAATTTCATTAATTTAATGGTAATTGGGATAAATATTGACGAAAATTAAAGTTGCTGCAATGTTCCTTTCATCCCTCTCCATAAATGATTTTATAGCACATACTAGGTTATCAAATTCTAGAACTCTCAAGCAAGCATACAGTACTTCTTTTCAAACTTCTTCACATGTTAACAACACATCAACAGAAGAAAACATAGTCAATGTACTGTTCTTTGCCAAGAAACAAACTTGAAGGATTCAAGGATGTCTGATCTGCAACCATGAATCTAAGATTCAATTGATAACCAATAAAACTAAAAGCCAGAAAGTACTTTAGCAGTAGAAAAAACATCTTTTAACGCATAAACATGACAAATTACTGGCAAGCTTAAACTCATACATACAAGGCCAATTTTTAATAAATAAAACCAGAAGCAAAGATAAGAATCATCCATGTTGGGATGTCTACAAAGACTGTAGCACAGGCCCAACCAAGGATCTAAGAACCGGTAACAACTCCAAATAGACACAAAGTACATAGAACCAATACAAGCAGAATACAAAGAAAGCAACAACAACTAGAAGGACATAACACCAAGGCAGACAAGCAACAATTCACGAGGACAATTATAAAGATGGAAAGCCATTACTGCTGATCAATTGAATACCAAAAACCAAAATGCTTTCTTTCAGCTCTGATATGATAAATTCTGTCTCCATCATCTTGCTCTTGCATAGTCAAGATAACTTTATCTCCTTTCTTGAGTCCTTTCTGACGAACGTATTCATTCCAATCGCCCTTAGCCAAGGTTTCTGATACTCACCTTCATTGCGAATGGAGACCTTAAGTCTCCATTGTTGTTGTAGCATGTCAAATGCCACGAAGTCGACCGAGTTCTGACCATCAGGCATGGGAAAGGCCCAGAGACTCCTAGATGGAAATTCAAGTCGCTTATTCGTTGCATCGCTCTTGGAGAGTATTTTGTTCATCACCTCCATGTCTATTTTTTCAAATGGGTTGAGCAAAATGTATAACATTCGCTAGTTGTATACAATGGTTTGGAGATTTCAAATACAAAATAAGGTTATTGGTGTGAGAGTTCAAGACAGGTAATGATATATATACTAATCATGTAGAGATTTGAGAATTAGATAAATAGCGAAGTCTTAATGATTGTTAAAGTGGTGATCGAAAGTCTACATGCGAAATTTTGCAAATCATCGTACGGAAATGGCCAGCTTCTAGATGGTGATATTGATGATGCAGGCAATGCAAGACTATTCAAAGGGTAATGGCGATATTATATATTTTGAGTTAGACATTGTCGTACATTAAGGTAATGATTAAAGCTAAAAACCATGTCTAAAAAGTTGAGAGTAGGTGAAAGCTAGAAAATCTGACTCATTTTCTAGTTCCGTAAGAATATATTGCACTTCTCTTTATGGATATTTCACTACCGGAATTTTTTAAAAAAGTACCAGAAGTATCTTTTTAATTTTTTATTACAATCTAAAATATTTTTTCTTTTTCATCAATTTTTTCCCTAAAATAGGACCTCTTACAATTGAAAATTAATTAATTTCTGCAATTGTTATAAAGGTCACTTTCATCTTAAGGCATCATTCTGAAAATTGAAAAGAAAAAAAATGCAGAAAGGTCAAAAAGAGAGAGAGAGAAAGTAATAGCACCCATTCGTGCGGGATCGACCTGAATCATTGTTCTCTACTTTCGAAAGGATCGTTAGATTGGAGAAAACAATCCTATGCATATCTGAGCCGACATTAATTTGCTTAAAAACCTGATCATGCATGTCTTTGTCAAGTTTATATTATATTATGTTAGTCCAAAAACAGAGAAGCCCTATAATAGTGGCCCATAAACTTTTAAGATTGCGGCTGGTTAAACATATTTTTTAAAAAACACATGTGCTGATGTGTTCATTGGTCACTTATTAGTATACTTGAAAGACTCAAAATATATTACATACTATCAAAATTAACCTAACGAACAATTGTTTATTTAATTGTTTTTTTAGTAAAATAAGATTTAAATTTTAATTATTTTAAGTTTATTTGATAATTATATAATTAGAGAAGGTTATCTCTCATTATGTAACCTCAAAACTTATTTAATTAGTAGTTTACACGAACGATACCGTTAGCTAGACTTCTTATTACGTACAACCGTTGTTATCTTATCTCTTATCTATTTGTTACATTGTGCATTCTTAGCCTTTCCTCTGTAACAAACTATAACTCATGTAATATATATATATATATATATTGATATAATACAATGAAATCGGACACGAGGAAAAACCCTTTAAATCAAAACCACTACATGGTATCGAGTTAATGGCTAACCACATTATTCCCCGTATCTTCTACCTCAACCACACCTACCTCAACTCCTAATGCCACTTATAGCTTTGCTATTAAACTCAACCTATGAAATTATCTTGCATGGAAAACCCAATTTGCTCCTCTTCTTAATTACCATGGCATGAATAATTTAATTGATGGCTCACACTGCTCCACTCGCAACAAGATTTTCAACCACAAATTTAAATGAAACTTCGTTAATCCGGATTATACACAATGTTTTAAAAGAGACAAACCGTTGTTATCATGGATTTTGTCATCTTTATCCGAAGAGGTTTATTCATACATTATTAGTTGCAATACATTCTTTGCTACATGGAAAGCATTAGAAAGTGCTTTTTGTTCAAAAAGCAAAATCATTGGTCGATGAGTTAGTCTGCTCCTGGAAGATTAATTTCACTCGCTGAATTTAATGTGATTGTTTATTGCAATATTGGTATTGAATTTTATCCTATTGTTTCTACTTTAAATTTACATGCTGATCCAATTTCTTTCAATGACTTGTATAGCCAACTCGCTTTCCTATGAGATTCTATTGAAAAGCTATCAAGCTTCTCCCATGGTAAATATTGCCATTTGGCCATCCTTCCAACAATTATCATGGTCGACTTCCATGATTAATCAAGGTCATAATTTTCGACGATCCAACAATGAAAGAAAGTGCCAAATATGTGGTTATCATAATCATACTGCTTGAAGTATGCGAGAGAAAGGTATGCTCCTAGACAATCTACTCGCCCACGAAGCATATATCGCATGAAAATCTACTTTTGCTTCATTGCCATGTCGAGGATATCCTACATATCCGCTCGCTTCACCAAATTAGAACATGATCCCTCCCCTAATCCCCCATATCAAGCATGGTTTCTTGATACAGGTGCAACACATCACATGACACTAAATCTTCACACAATAGTTGAACCACAAGCATAAAAAGGAGGGGATCAAGTCATAATTGGTAATAGATAATCAATGACGATTTCTCATACTTGGTATGGCTTTTCATCCTTCCATTAAAAATATTAACTTGATGCTTAAGGATGTTCTTCATGTTCCCTCTTTATCTAAACCATTGTTATCCGTTCAATAGTTTACCAAAGACAATAATTGTTACTTTGAATTTCACCCTTTTTATTTTTTGGTTAAGGATCGACGGAATAAGAAAATCCTATTGCAAGGCATGAGTAATGCGGACCTATATGAACTTAATCCTAGCAAGCTCGTAAGCTTTTTTGATAGAATGTGCATCTTTTCAAACGTGGCATGATAGACTAGGTCACCGCGGGTGCGAGACAGTTTCAAGAATAATTATTGATAATAAATTACCCACTTTTAGTCCTTTAAATCGTTCTTTAGTTTGTTCCTCTTGTAAGTTAGGAAAAATGGCAAAGTTGCCTTTTGCGTCCGTTGAGCATACTAGTTGTAACCCTTTTGAAATCATCCATTCCGATGTTTGGGATCCAACTCCCGTGCTTAGCAATCTTGGTTTTAAATATTTCATTTTATTTGTTGATGATTATTCTTGTTTTACTTGGATTTTTCCATTAAAGAATAAGAGTGAAGTTTTTAGAGTTTTTAAAAATTTTGAGTCTTATATAAAATTGCAATTTAATTTGGACGTAAAAGCTTTTCATTCGGATTGGGGAGGAGAGTTTCAAAAATTAAATTCGTATTTTAAGGAAAAAGGCATCATTCATTGAATTACATGTCTTTATACGCATGAATAAAATAGGTTATCCGAAAGAAAAATTAGGCATATCGTTGACATAGGATTGACACTACTTGCTGATGCATTAATTCCTTTTAGATATCGGTATTATGCTTTTGTTAATGCCCTCTATGCTATCAATAATATGCCTAGTACGAGTCTAAAACAAAAGGTACCTTATGAACTTTTACATCACAAGCCATCAAACTACTTTAAAAACAAGACCTTTGGTTATACAATTTATCCTTATCTTAGACCATATAACAAAAATAAGTTTAACTTTAGAAATCTCCCAATCACTATGGTCACTTACCAAGATAAGGTCTATATGGTTAGGCATGTCATTTACTGAAAATTCTTTTCCTTTTAAAATACACAATGTATGTCCTTCTCCTCCACCGAAACGACGTCTCCTTGGTTAATTATGTAGGTCACGCCTAACTCTTCCTTGCAATCGAGTACGTCTCCTTTCCCTACTTTGTCTTTTTCTTCTATTTTGTCTCCTTTTCTTACTCCGCCTCTCTCTCTCCTACCTCATCTCAAACCTCACCCTTATCCCAACAACCCGTAGCTCATAATTCACCAATTACCGCCCTGCTATCATCCAAGTTCATAATCTCATCCCACTATAATTGAAACACTTCCACTTATCTCTCATTTTCCACCCGTAACATCTCCCGGGCTAGAACTCATTGTAGACTTAAACAAATATTCCTCTCAACTCGAGCACAACAATCTAAATCCTACTAGAACACATCCAATGCTACTAAGATCCAATACTATGAGCAAACGAGCGGCCCATCTCTCTTCAAAACAAAACCCGAAACTAGACTTTCTAACCACCGAACCATCCACTTTTCATCAAGCTAGTAAATTTCATTAATGGCAAAGAGCTATGTCGGAAGAGATTTATGTATTATTGTCCAATAAAACTTGGAAATTGGTTTCTAAACCATTGAATGCTAATGTGGTTTCAAATAAGTGGGTGTACGGTATTAAAACAAAGCGGGATGGTTCCATTGATTGGTATAAGGCATGCTTGATGGTATAGGGCTTTACACAACAGGAGAGTATTGACTATAAAGAGACATTTAGTTTGATAGTAAAAGCTACAACAATCGAATGGTGCTTGCACTTGTCAATATGCATGAATGATCAATCCAGTAACTTGACATATCTAATGCATTTCTTCATAGACATTTGAAGAAGACAATCTATATGACTCAACCTACCGAGTTTATAGATGAACAAAGGCCCGATTTTGTGTGTAAACTAAATCGATCACTCTATAGATTAAAGCAAGCTCCACGAGCTTGATTTTTAAGGCTTACGGACTTCCTTCATCATCAAGGGTTCCGATCATCAAAAGTTGACTTTTCTCTTTTCATATACAATCTAATTATATTAGATATAATTGGAAAGGGCTCCTATCGAAATAACTAAGTCTTAGGTATATAGGCTCGGCTTGACTAAGACAAGGTGAAATAAGGATCTTGGCCCGCAATAAAAAACACTAACATGAATTATTTAAAGGGATATTAATTCAAATTGTGGGATTATAAATAAAGACCTCATACTAATCTTGCATATATTATGTAGATTGAAATGACATTGAACAACTCATAACCATTTTCATTGCGATCAGTCCTTGAGAAAGAAAAACTCAATAGGACTAACTTCCTTGTTTGGTCTCGAAACTTAAGAATAATTCTCAAGAAAGAGAGGAAGCTTGAAGTCTTAGATCAAGCGTTACCCAATGAACCAGCTAGAAACGCCACTACTACTCAAAAGGAGGCATTCAAAAAGAAAAAAAATGACTCCAATGATGTGACTTGCCTCATGCTTGGCTACCATGAGTCCAGAATTGTAAAAACAATTCATGGATATGGAGGCTTTTGTGATCATGACT